TCGTAGCTGCATAGATTACAGGTCAATTAATAAATAGTACAGTGGTGACAGGTCAATACATACATAGTCATACGAACATAGTCACTACCTACGTAGTCATAGATACAGTCGATTATTAAATAGTCATGGTGACAGTCAATACATACATAGTCATAGACATATAGTCATAGTCATAGATACAGTCAATTAATAAATAGTCATGGTGACAGCCAATACATACATAGACATAGTCACAGTCTATGCATACATATAGTCTAGAATATAGTCAGTCAAAGCTACACACACCATGACAATCATAGTCATAGACACAGTCAACTACACACGCAATAAAATAAGTCAGTAGAAATAAACATTACAGTGTCAATACATACATTGTAACAACAGTGTATCAACGTACGCATATGTATCCTCATACGTTGGCAGCAACAGGCATTAATCAATCAGAGGAAGTAAGGTCTCTCTGTAACATTTCACTGCAGTGTAGCAGCGTGAACATATCTCATAGCACCACAACTCACTTAGTATACACAAATATAGTATACACAAATATATATATATATATATACATACACGTTCGTTCATGGTAAGAGGTCCTAATAAATCAGAGGCAGTAAGATCTCTCTGTAACACCTCATTGCAGTGTAGCAACATGGCCGCCAGCTTCGACGACCTTCACAGCACGCTGAGTGAGAGCAGCCAGCAGCATCTGAACGAGGTGCTGAGACTGCAGGAGAAGATACGCGAGCTCGACTCTAGTCTGCAGACATCTAGCAGCCGCTCCACGGCACTGCAGGAGCAGCTGGACGAGAGCCGTCGCAGCGTCAGTCTACACCAGGTGGATCGCAGGAAGTCGGAGTTGTCCGTAGGGGCCAAGCAACAAGAGGTGCGTACGATTAAAAATTATTGTACTTATTATCACGATTACTTATTGTACGTATTATAATGTATTATAAATATAAAGACTTACCACGTATAAAGTAATGTTTTAAATTTGTTTGCAGTAAGTTCAGTTAGGTTTGTAAGTTCAGGGGCTGTTATATATATTGAAGTATTTATATTTATCTTATATGTATTATAATTATATAATATTACATATATATTATAGACTTATATTGGTTATGTATCTATATGTATGTTTCTAAGGTAAGCACTGAATTGGAATTTTCTGCGCCAATAATGAAATATTGTGTCTTTCTGCTTGTTCTGAAAGGTTGATGATCTGCAAGCAACCTTGAATGAACTGCAAGCAGAGGTGGCGACGTTGAAAACCAAGCACAGCGATAAATGCCTCGAGAACTCTGATCTTATGCAGCAGCTTGGTGATATGAGGTCAGAGATGACATCACTCAAAGACCAGAACACTGAATCTGCCAAGAAGGTGTGTAGTAACGTGTGTGAAGCATTAAACGACGGTTACTTTGTATGACTACTACGAAGTTACAGTTTCTTTGAATGTGTACAGGGTTTCTTGATGTTATATAACTAAGTGCTAATAATACAATGTTGTTAAAACTTGCGTGTTGTGTACTAAAAACATGAACCAAAATCAGATCTATCTGCAGCGTATCTGTGTATCTGTGTGTCAGTGGGATGGATATCAGTGTATCTGTCTCGTATGTCAATTAGTTTCCTTGTGTGTAGATCTGGTCGGATCACACTCTACGGAATAACACTGAAAAATTGACAATTTCTGATTCTTCTCACCAGGTGGCGCAGCACGAGGAGATGGTTGGAATAAGTGAGAGCATGACAGCTAAACTGCAGAAGGACCTGAAAGCACGCACGGCTGCACTCGTCGCCCTCGAAGCAGCCAAGAAAAACATTCAGGTACGGCGGCGCTCTGTCATCAAACGTGCTAATCAGTTTCCGGTTGGACGGGTTATTGTGATAATATCAGGCAGGGAGAAGTCCCTCGGCTATCGTCTTGGTAAGTGACAGTAGCGTAGCAGTCATATTCATGTAAGATCCTTGCCTAGTGGATATCGTATTACACTCAACTGAATGTAAATTTTCAAAGTTTAGAAGTGTATTTAGTCAGGCTGCAGCTTTATAGTGTGTGGTAAGCTGAATAAACCACTGGTTGTGGTGCTGGTAGTGTATACCAAAACACTGCTATGAATTTCCAGTTGAGCCACGTATGGCTTACCACACGTGAAGTCGATAACTTGTTATAATGTGTCACCACTTACAAGTTAACAGACAGTCAGGAGTAATCTGTGTAATGCATATATGCGTATGTGTTTGTGCACGCATGTGTGTATGTGTGTGTGCATGCGTGCGTGTGTGTGTGTGTGCGTGCGTGCGTGTGTGCGTGTGGGCACGTGCGTGTGTGCGTGCGTGCGTGCGTGCTTTTTTTGTAGTGTGTATATGTGTGTGCTGTGTGTGTGCGTGCATGTGCGCGCGCATGTGGGCATGTGCGTGCGTGCGTGCGTGCGTGCGTGCGTACGTGCTTTTGTTTGTTTGTAGCGCGTATATGCGTGCGCGCCATGCATACGTGCACTCATCGCATATCCCCGTTCTCTGCATCCCGTTCAGCTGGAGCTGAGCATCTGTCAGAGCAAGCTGCAGAGCTACGAGGCAGACGCCGACCAGCTCAGGAGCATGGTCGGTCAGCTGAAGGAAGACCTTGCGGCGGCGAGGGAGGAGAGGCTGGCGAGCAGGCAGGCCGCGCAGAGGATGCGCATAGACGCGGAGACGAGCCGCGTGCGAGAAGCCGTGCTCGTCGAACAGGTAACAACGAAATGCTCATTCGAAACCCACGTTATATTTCGAAA